AAAGACGAGTGGGAACAAACCACAAGAGTTGGGTGAGTATTGTTTCTAAAAGACATGACATTTTATCTGTAGGACGACTACACGCGGGTGTGCCGGGTCTGAAGGGCACTGCGGTTTGCTATCCTTAAGCAGCCCATAAAACACAGGCTTCCTACTGTGTCTAGATGTTAGGCCTTTGATGGTGTTGTCCGAGAGATTTTCCTATAGCTGGGCTTTTCAGTGTTCCTTTCGTTTTAGCCTCCTCCGAGGGGCTTGGCTCCTTTCCAGTTTTTCGTAGCTGTCTCCGCCATTAAGTATCGACTGACCCTTGCTCACGTAAGTTAGCTCACCTAAGATTAAAGTCCCTCACGCTTATCGCTATGTTTAACTAATATATCATAATTTTTACTAAGGTCCCTGATAAACTCCTGCTGATCTGCGGAACACGTGGGGCGGGAATGGAACGCATGGAGGATGCTGAATCACGTGATTCCGCTTCACGTGTTCACGTAAACTTGTCACAGTGAAAGCTAAGGTAGACGAGCATGTCCATTAACTTGATGGTTTTGGTCTATTAAAAATGAATGGCAAACACGCTGAACACACTGAATTTAGAACACGTGGGGGATGGATGGCGGAACGGATACACGGAGTGTAGGACAACATATTATTGACACTACCTTACAAATATGAGCACTTGCTTTGGAAAATCAAACACATTGCAAAAAATGTAAACTGCATGTGCGCATGAGATGGAAGAACGACAAAAAAACAACTATCTGGTGAAATCTTCCATTTCTTCTTCTTCTTTCTTCCATTTCGAAGCCTAACCGCCCGGTGCGATGTGTGTCATTTATGCAAGTATGGGTTTCAAGAGGCCTACACGAAAAACAATGGGGATTTCGAAATAAGTGTTAACTATACGAAGAATCTGGGAGAGGCATACTCTATGTCGGAGAGTCCATGCGCTCATTCGCCTAAGATGTAATAAACGCCTGCGAGACGCTAACAACAAAGCGGAGAATGTCCCTTCCGGCAGCCGTCTATTTTTCTGTGACAAAACACTCAGGTTGAAATCCGGGGAGGTACGGATCCTATAACCCTTTTATAGTGCAGTCATGTTCGGAACGCAGTGCCATCCAGACAGGAAAAAACCCATTCTTAAAAGAAGTTGGCGACCAGATTTGGCACAGGCTTAATTTTGGCTGCTTGTGCGAATGTGATAAACGCTTCAAAGGCACTGTTTCACATTTATGTAGGGTTTTAAACTGAAATAGCCATTTGAAGACCTTTCGGTGCGGTTCACAATCCTGCCCTTCTCAAGACCTAAGCCCCTCTCGTTTCTGAGCTACACGCCTATGAGAATGAAAAAATGTGTATCGAGGAGAATATTTCAAAGTCACCCTGGCATTCATGACGTCATAATACGTCATTCAAATCCTGTGATGCTATAAGCCATGCGACTATCAAGGCCAGAACTTTCATTGTCCAATCATTCATGTCTGGCGTTCATGAACGCGATTTCCACATATCACGGCCGTCAATCGGCTCCCAATCAATGTTTTGCAGGGTACGACGACACAATCAAACCATGACGCAAATGGGAGCAAATCTGCTAAACTGAGAATGGTGTTGTGTGGAAGAGTATTTTCCATTTGAAAAATATAGCAATGATTATAAGAGAGCTTGTTTCATCATACCTCATGTTTGCTTCAATGCCTTCAAATGTGGAACAATCCCTATAACGTGATGCATGCTAGCTTGAAGTCGTTTATATGTATGAGTGATGCGTGATGCGCGATGGCTGTGTAGTTGGTATTATTTGTATGTATAAGTAATGCATGATGAGCAATGCCGGTTACTTGAAATCGCTTGCATGAGTGAATGGTGCGAGATGCCTGTAAGCTAGAATTTGCTTGCGTATTCGCGTATGCACGTATTTCTTCATATACATTAATCCATAGCTATATATGCACTTTATCTTATTGATGGCTGACATCTTTTTCCTGTTTAATACCTGCATTTTAGTGACTTTTAAGAACTGCGGCTCACTGTTGAAGAACACCTGAAAGATAGAGCGATATCGGCTGGGAATTTTGAAGTCTGAGTTTTCGAATTACATTCTTTTTTATAAAGGCTTACAGCCAAAATAATAATGCATTTATCTCTCCCACTCTTGGTTGTTCAACGAGGAATTGGACTAAAAACGCTGTCTTATGTACACGAATAATGTGCCCAGAAAATGCACTTAGCAGCTTACCCACGTGCTGCTTCAGGGAACAGTTGTGATCCATATCTGGGACCGGAACATTGTGTTTGAGCCAGATGTTAACTTACCGCACGCGAAACGCTTCTGGCAGGACGAATGTGTATCTTCGTGCTTAAACAAGAGACTGGCTGAAAGCGAGCGTCCCATCTTTCGAACATATTTCAAAATTGTAAACATTTCAAAATAGAATTGTCGATTCGTTCATATCTGGCACTCGTGAGCACGATTTCCATACACAAAAGGCTTCAGTCTCAATCAATGACTGGTTCTCAATCAGTGTTGCGCATGGAACAATGACGCAATCAAACAATGCCGTATTGAGCAACATATTCACTTAATAAAGAAATTGCATTGTCTAGAACAGTCATTTCAACTTAAAAGCATGTCAGTGGTCACGAGCGAGCTTTTTTCATCAATTTGCCAAAAGTTATCTGATGCCTGCTTTAATATCTCCAGATATCAAACATTCCCTTTAGGACCGGTAAACCCTCTAGCTTGTGAACTACATGCCCGCGAAGATGCGCAGGTTTTTTGTGCGGACTATTTCAAGGTCGTTCGGGTGTGCAAGACATCATAGCAACGTCATGCAAAACTTGCTACCCGATAGGTCATGCAGCGTTCAAAGCTACAAAGTGTATTAGTGTCGAGCCATTCAGTTCTGGCTTCTGTGAGCACTATTTTCAAATAAGTGGCGTCAATTGGCTTTTAATCAATGCTTAGCAAGCTGTGCAAGGTTCAATCGCGAATCACGTTTTGTGCTGCTTAATATAAGAGGTGGGACATAGTTGCCAGTTATTGCAGAGGTAAGAATTGTAAACGAATGACTTAAGAATAGCGCAATTACCGAGTATGTGAATGCTGGTGGACATCTTAAAGGTATTGATGAATATGGGAGACCATCACAAGAAAGGACCGAAATACGAGCACCTAGCGATATTTGTCACAGCGAGCAGTTTCAGCACCGCCACTACCGTCTATCAGCGAGTCGAAGTGCTTCATGTGGGTGCTAGGGTGATATGTTCGCACGGCTGGTTTGGCAGCACCTCGACGTCATGCGGACGTTGAGTGACGCATTAAGACAATGACGTGTTGAGGAGCTTTTTTGCTTAAAACAAATTCTGCTTTCTAGAGCAATCTTTTTCACTGAAAGATATATCTAGTTGCTAGTAAGCCTATTCCATCACATTTGATGTTTGCTTTAAAATCTTCAAATGTGAAGCATTTCCTTTAAGAGTGACAATCAAATGTCCGAAAATCCCGAGTTTTTGTAGGCATCAAACTCTATTGTTGCCTTCATGCGATTTCGTTCGTAAAGTTGGCAACAATTCACATTCATATTCAGATCAATATTTGCCCAACAACGGACATGGCTGACCTGGCAATGCGCGTGGTTTAAATGCCGATGCACGACTTTTTTAAGCACTGGTTACAAAAACTGACTGGCACGTAGCTTCCCGTGGTTCCAATTATTTTACCGTTGTATGGAGTTGGAGCGGGTGCAAGATCGGGCCATTCGAAATAAACCCCTGCAATCTTTTCGGAAGGAATTTGTGTAAAAATATATGTTACTTCCGCAACGCGACGGGCACAAAACCTGAGACCAGGAAAGCTTAGTGCAATGCCGATAACAGGTAAAAGTCGCAAATTCGGATCGGAATATAAATTTTATTTGTTGCTAACTTGACGAATGTGTGCGGAGTGGTATCAACTTGACAACATCCTGGATCCGGCCATGCGTCACTGGCAGTGGTAGATGTCTATGCCTGCATTCGCCCCCCCCCCCCCCCCCGCGCGGTACGTGCTGTGCATGGCGTGAAAGAATAAGAAGCTCAAAGACAAACGAAACAGCGCGCACACATGCCATAAATCGAGGGCATTATGCTCTTCTGATGAAGGCTCGCAGGGAAGCCGCCTTTGCGACACTGGAGTGTCATCTCGATCTCACCAAAAAGGTGACATTTACATGAAAATCACAACGGTAAAAATAAAATTAGAAATAAGAAAGATACTAAGCTAGCTTGAGAGGAATCCCATCTTTCTTGCAGTCTCATAAATCTTTCTGCAAGAAAATACGGCAATGATGTATACAAAACCCTAAAATTAACCCGGTCAAAGTTGCGGGGAGGAGGCACTGCTTCCTCATTCCAAAAACTAAGCGGCAAGCGCCCGTTCTGCCCGTTCTGCTCCCCCTTATCCCTGTTCCCGCACCTAGAGCATCTCAGTTTCCCTCAGCCTTTGATGGGAGCTGAAGCTGGTGCTGTTCCGCAGCCAGGTGTAGTGAAACTGTGGATAGTTGTAGCAGACGCACATGCATTGGCCATTGCACCTGTTTCTTTATTGTTTACGGAGATGAATTAAATACACGCTTAGAATAATTCAACACAACAACGTACGCCTCAGGAACTGAGTATTGCCGTACATCCGCCAGCTCCTCCCTCTTTCCCCCCTCTGTCCGTCTCAGTCAGCAGAGTCACACATTGCTTCATGACAGGCCAGGTACGCTGTGCGTGTCTCATGGACATGCTGCAGCATGAACAGCATGGAGTGCGTGAACTGCGTGGACTGCACCCATGCATGTGCGTGCATGTGTCCAGTCCTGAAGACCAGTCAGGTGGCCGTAGCCCAAAACTTTAGGCACGCGCTGCTTCAAACGCGGATTTTTCCCAGAGCAATGGCGCGGCGGACCCCGATATTTCTTCTAAGTGCACTCCAGCTATGCACGCGGCTCATCACAGTACGCACATGCACACGATCATCGTACACCACCGCCAATGGTTTGCAGTTTGGTAACCAGCCGTCCCGTCTGGAGCTGCAGCGGCCGCCAGTTGTTGACCAGTGGCAGGGTCATGGCCCTGTCCTGGAACATCTTCGTAACGAGGCCGTTCAGAAAGCGGGCGCTGATGTCCGTCTCGGCGGCCGACACCAGCCACGTGACCACCGGGTTGCAGGGCGGACTGGTGAAGCTGCCGTAGTAGGCGTAGACCTTGGTGAGGGCTCCGCTGAGCAGGCGCTGCACGGGCGTCAGGTCGGCCGGGAAGGTGAGACGGCTGTCCCTGGCGGACAGCTGATCCAGCCAGTTCTCCAGCCCGAAGGTCGGGAAGCCCGGCTCCACCAGCTTCTCGGAGCTGCGCAGCATGATGGACACCACCGCCACTCCACCCGCCTGCCGCTTGGCCTTCTGGATCCTGCCGTAGAAATTGTTATAGAAGACAAACTGCGCCTCGGCTTCAAAGAACTTGCCGCCAATGGAGTGCTCCGATCCGGTGGTGCCCTTGCCATCGCCCCAATGGAACTGCACCTCCTCCAGGTTGTAGACGCCGAACAGCGGCTTCTTGTAGGAGACGAGCTGGATAGCGGGTGCGCTCCTGTTGGCCGGCCGCAGGCGCAGCTCCAGGCGGCGACCCGTGTTGGTGGCCACGACCTGACCTTGCGCCAGCCCGGCCGCGCCCACCACCTTGGGCGGCAGAGAGAACACCACCCGGTGGTGGGTCAGGGCGATTGGTGACTGCAGCGGTCCGTCACACAGAGGGAACGTGTAGTTCCAGCGCGCCGGCTGATCGTAGTCCCAGAGGTCGGCCGGCGCGTCCATCGGCCAGAACTGCAGGACGATGATGGCGTACCACCATGGCAGCATGGCCGTGAGCTCGCCGCCGCTGGCCGCTGCGCCTGGGCCTCCTCCGCTCGCACCGCACGGCAGCAGAACTGGCCGCGCCGGCCCCACCACCCCCTTAAGTAAGGAGGGCGCTGCTGGCGTCGCAAACAGTCACATGAAAGATTGCTTGCACATTTTTGCATGCGGGCGAAACAAAAAATGTGAGCGCGACGTAACTCAAACCAGTCTTAATGCAGCAGGATTGCGTGGTTTGGTTGTTGCGCGGTAAAAGGGGAACAGTGATCTGCAATGATAGCACATTTCATTGGCGGCACGGTGCTGGTTTTTGGCTGGCACATATGACGCTCAACGCCATATCGGATGGCACAGGAAAAGTCAAAAGGGTCACGACACGGTCTTGAAACGGCATGGGTTAACACATGTGGCTTGCCTATATAAGCTGATTGCGTTTAAGACTGGCAGGTGCTTCCTTGAAGTTATTATTAAGACAGTTTAGTAACTTATACTGTACGTATGCTGCCGTGCCCCTGTCGACCTGTACCTGTGTAAAAGGTTTTAAAATATTTCAGACGTATCGGAGATCACCCATAGTCATGCTTTGAAATCTTTCCGCGTTATTTCTACGGCCATCACTTCGTTTTAAGTAAAAACTGCCCTGCGGAAGCATGTATGTTAACATACATCATGCCAATTTCTTTCTGCGCCTTCTTTAAAACAACGTTTATAGTCCTAAGTCTTTTACACATCAATCCTCAGGAAAACCACAGCCTGCACTTTGCTTGCTGCGAAATAATTGAGTGTAAACTGCCCCGTCCCACGACGACGTTTATACCACTGGTACCTTATTTGGTGCCATGGTACTCCCCAGGCACATTCTCCTGAAGTTGCGCCATAACTAAAATAGACAGGGAGTGGGACACATCGCTTATCGTTAGGCTTATTTTGGTATCTGGTAAAGTGAACTCTGATGTTTATTTCTTTCGCCAATATTCACCAATTTGTAATGCTACGTTTGCGTATTTGGTCCCATGGCAGCCATGGGTTTAATCCCTGTTTGTCCTATTTTTGATCAATTCAGATTTGACACCATTTTAGGTCTCTGTTTAGTGTGTAAATCCTGCGTGAAGAGGAATACTCTCTCTTATTCTAATCGATTTTGAGATGTAAACCGCACTCCCCTGTCTGAATATACTGAAGGTATTCAGGTATCTTCACCATCTGTTGATCACATCTCGTTAAGCCGAATGTACGCTTGGAAATGTATAACCCGTGCAGACTTAGAACTTGAGTCCCAATCGAAGGACCATTTACGATAACCCAGTCACCATCGACGAACTTTCCATTTAACATACGAGGGCTTCAGAGTCCGTCGGACAACAGACGTGCTTGGGGAAGATCCGGTTTGGGCAAATCCGGTTCAGCAGGTAGCAGATCCAGTCGGTGTGTCAACTAACAACTGCCATATCAACCCATTTGTTGACCAAATCCATACCGCTTTTCATATATCACCCAGCGGCTAGATGCTCTTCGGTTAGGCATTGACGCCTTAGTTCTGACCCTGCCTACCCTGCTTTCTTTCGGAGCAGTTTCTCCATGTTAGCGGAAGCAGAGGCGGATATAAAATAAAGACCAAACGCTGCGTTTGTTATGGAGACCGAGTCAAGTTTGGTAGGATGCCAATGGTATGGGCTGTTAGGAAGAAACAAGTGCTTTTTCTTACCTAACCTAACTTTAAACAGGTCACCAAGAGTGCTCTCACCGACATCCGCGCAGCACAAAGAAACAGGTGTTAAAGGTACGATTTCAGCTTCAGTCTGTGTGCACATCGATGGATGATGCACTCAATGACTAATAAAGCCAACAGCAGTTGAAACGCAACAAATGCACCTTCTTACTAAATGCAAAATACAGGCCATTGCGTCCCTCAAAGTCCCATTACATTGTCAAACACCACAACAAAGCAGCCATATCGGCTCAACTCCTAAAACGATAGGATAACGATAAAGTTAACTCAAATATAGACGTCCAGTGCCACCCTCTGAGTTATCACAAACTTTGCGAACAGCATCTTTTAGCATTAATTCCGTGGAAATTTTTGCCACGCATCTGGTCCAGGAATTGGTCGCTTCATTCGGACATGCTCGTGGACAGATTGCATCGCTCTATTGCAACATGCACATAATGCACGGAGAACAACCCCGTGTGTGTAACGTGTGGAGAGTGGACGTCAAGCGAAGCCCTCGACCAGAGGAGAGATGGACACTGAAACCGCCAACAGTTTGAGCACGTACTTTTCTGGTCAGTGCACCGTTGTGTTCTCAGGGTGTACTTGGATTTAGGGGTGCCTTTGATGAAAATGTCATCGCAGTACGCATTTTTAATAGCTAATTTACAGTCCGTCACCTGACATTACAGTCACAGTCCGCCACCTGACAGTTCCACAGCAGCGCGCTTATGATGCACTCCCATGCATCCTGATCGCTGCTGCACCATTATCCTTAAAGCGTCGAGGATGTGCTATCCACACGTTTTTCAGGAACAGGTCATTACGCCTGTTAACGAATTCCAGCAATTTGTTTCAAGATCGCAAGTCTGTTTTTCTTCGTCAGCGTCGGTCACTGGCTCCTGCGCGCTGTCTGCACAGATTGGTCAGTTCCTTTTCATGGCTGTCACCGTGTGTGCGTGTTGTGGTTGCACTTGTGATTAGAACAACCAACAGTAAAGCACAACAATACGCTCCAATTTGTCCCCGTGTGTAGTGACATTGAAGGGCTGCAAAGCCTGGCAGAGTCGCATAGCCAGCCAGCCAGAACATGGCGTGCACTGGTTAAATTTCTTCTCCTTTTGGGGCATCGTATGCTGTTTTTCTTCATCCTCTCGTTGCTTAGGGCCGCAGTGTACAACTGCGTAATAGGTAAATACTATTGTTCGTCTGACCGGCACTAAAATTGTGGACTTCTTGGCAATTTCAACCTCGGACGTTTAGAGATCGCCTCACTGCTCCGCCGACAGATCTAATGAAGGCTCCACTTTTCAGAGCCTTACTGCTGTTATATAGATGATGTGCCATAGAGACATAACGTTATTCGCGGGGTTTGGTATGGCCGGAAATTTTGTGTAGCCTATGAAGGTCTGCAGCTCGATTTTCTTATGAGGCTCACATTATCATTGCCTGGTTGATGAACGATATATTTACGCACAGAGCGGCCGCTAAATGCGATCCTGCACAGCCGTAGAATGGAGAGAAAAACAACACACGATGCATAAAATTCACGGCCATGAATCAAAATATCCGTGAGTATTCAGCCCTCTACAAAGTTCCTTGGTAGCACAGTCGCTCTCTGGCGGCAGGCTACAGCGGTGCCTATAGTACTTAAAACCTGGGAAAAGTGGAACAAGCGCCCTTGATTACGGCCCCGTCGGCATAACATTCTCCGTTTGTAAGGTCATGGAAAGGACGGTGAATGTGAGCTTTCATAGATTTTAGAACGCCAGACCTTTCTTACCAACACACAGGGTAGATTCCGTAAGCAGAGAAGCACGACTGGCCACACCTTAACTCTTGATACCGCAGTGCGGACCGGGCTTCTGAACCAATGTCACACTGGCCGCTAAAAGCTTTCCATGCCTCGTGGAAAAATGATTTCTTATAAAACTTTGCTGCTGTGGCATCTGCAGACACATGGGAAAGTTTTATAGACCTTGACTGACCTATTTCTTCAGGTGTTGGCTGGTTCTTTTCACTCTGACAGGAATCAGCAGGAAAACGGTGTACCTCAGGGCAGTGTATTAAGGATTATTACTTTCGTAGTCATGGTAATGATACACGTGACGCACTTCCACATGGAATCAGCAGTCATTTGTTCGTAGGTGGCTTTGATATTTGGTACAGTTCATCGACCACTCGCACGATGGAGCGACAGCTACAGATGGCTGTTACTTGTCTGGAGAAGTGGAACATTCTCAACGGATTCCGGTTTTCCACATCGAAGACAACCGCACCTCATTTCTGCCGCCGTCGCCGTCATTGTCCTGAAATGGAGATCAGGCTGCATGGACAAGCCGTCACCACTTAGATTCCCGTGAAATTCTTGGTGTACGATTTGACCGACGCGCTACATACCGAGAGGGCATATAAAATGTTCACGTTAAATGTTTAAAATCCCTTACAGCGAGTGTTCCACATTTGTACGGGGGTTTGAACTGAAGAAGTCATCTTGAAGATCATTTGGTGTAGCTCACAACCCTGCCCCTGCTGAAACCTAAATCCTTCTAATTTCTAAGCTACACGCCCGCTAAGATGTGTTCTCACGCTCGCATTCGTACAAAGAAGGGGGAAGTTTATTGTAGCAACTGAAAGAGCCTTTGTACGCCACTCGAAAACATCATTTTGTAGGTGGGATGATCTGGAAACTGCACTAACTTGCGAGTTTAGTGCAGTCCCAGCATCTGCCTTCGCGGTGCTTGCGGCGGCTGGTAGCCCTCCAACAGCACGCTTTCTATGGGCGATGTTCGAAAATGATCCTGTGATAGCGCGCAGTGCGGCGAGGTGCACCGTGTTCAAGCTACGATTGGTCGGGTCTGATGTACCGTTATAGATAAAGCAGCCGTAGTCAAGCTTTGGGGAAACAAGGAAATGGTGCAAAAATAAGAGCGTCTTCCTACAGGCACCGTATAGTGTACGTCCCACGCACCGTAACCTGCTAAAGGGAGCGCGCTACATTTGAAGATATTGAAGCAAGCATCACATGTTATGAAATAAGCTCACTTATAAGTACGAGTATACTCTTAAGTCGAAAAGGCTGCCCTAGACAGCACCCTTTCTCCGTTTAGTAAATGTGTCCATCAATACCTTACTGTTTGCTTACGTCATCGTACTTGGCACATCATTGATCGTGAATCAACTAACGGTCATTATGAATCAACCAACGGTCGCTATGAATCAACTGACGGTCATTATGAATCAACTAACGGTCGCTATGCGTGAAAATCGTGATCACGAACGCTAGATATGGATGACTCGACAAATATATCTTTGTTTGGCCTTGATCAACGCATGG